TGAGCCTGGCTGTCTGTCAGGGGGAGGGACTTCTATTGTGACCTGCAGTCATTAGCGCTGGAGCACCAGCATCTGCTTTCTTCACTGCAGACCGCATTCCTCAGTGTCCGGATGGGAAGATGGAGCTTTCGTGACCTTCAGCTTTCCTGAGGTCATGATCCAGAGATACGATTGCCTGGAATGGGAGGCTGCGCCTGGACCAGCTGAATTCCGAGGTGCAAGGCAAGTCTGAGTCCTGTAGCCGTCGGTCCTCACACTGCTGTGGATGCTCTTCCCAGCAGCATTGCCCTCTGCGAACGGGGCAATTCTTTCCCTCATTCATTGAGAAGGCACACGTTTATAGACCAGGTGTCAGTCTCTGCGATAAGAGGATGATCTAAAGGGGGGTACGAGACGATCTCCATTCCCAAGACACCCCGCGACTAGCAGAAGAGAGAGACGCACACAGAGACCAGTTGCACCTGCTGTAATGAAGTGCTATGAAAGGCCCACGGTGTCGGGCTATGGGAGAGCTTAATGAGTAAGAAAGGCCCAATGAACAAATGCCCTCTAAGCTGTTATTGATGGTCACTTCGCAGTCCTTTCAGGAGTGAGGGCATAAGCCATGCTCTAGCTCTTGAAGTCGCCAAGGTGTTCGATGGCAGTGACCCAGCATTTCTGGGAATAATCACGATATAGAAATGGTCTTGTGAGTAATTTGATATCAACAATATTAATTAACAAAATACTCAGTTATTGAAATGACAGGAAACTAGTGAGTAGACTGTACGTCTATGGAGAATTTCCGTGCAACGTTCGTTCACAAAACCCCGTCACCTTGCAAACACTGACCGCTGGCTCCTTCCTGAGTGGGGACTCATGCCTTGGTGTCCAGTTGCTTCTGTGCCCAGTCCTTGAGCCTGTATCGAGGCCTTGGCAAGATCATTTTCTCTCTTCCACCGCCACGTGATACTTCCTTCAGGAAAACACCTCATTACCTCGTTGATGTCATAGATGCTGTTTATATCAGAATCCATTGCTCTAGTATGAAAATTTATACCTGATTCTTAGTAAAAAGGGTTTTGCTCTTCGATCCGATTTATTCCATTTAACGACATGCCAGGCATTTGCTAGGTGCTTTTCCATAGGATATTTCCTGGATTCTTCCCCAATGTCTATGAAGCAGGTCTCAGGATCCTCATTTTCCAGCTAGGAAAATGGAGACCTACAAGGCTGAGCTCTCTTGCCTGAGGGTCAAGGTCAGAGATGGCAGAGTTGTCACTGGACCCCAGGTGGGCCAGGCCCTGGTCCGGCACTCTCTCCCGCTGCACGGGGGTGCCCCTGGCACTCCGTGACAGCCCATTCCCAGCACCCGGGTGATGGTGCCTCCAGCTCCTATTAAGCCATCAGTCAGGACAGCACATGGAGGGAGAGGATTCTTGAAAGAATCCAAGGCTTGCTCACTCTGTCTCGCTTTATTTGAAAATGGCTTTCTCTCTGGTCGTCGGCTTTCAAGTAGCACGCTGGACTCACAACTTCTCGAGCTCAGAGGCGCTCTCCTGAGGACACGTTCTTTCTTTTAATTGAAGTCTTCGTCATTGGCCGGCTTCCAAGGGGTCGACCAGATGTCTTTTTCTTTGCTCCAGCGGAAGCAGATTAGGATGTTCCAGCTCGCATTCACAATTCGCTCGACTTTGCTGGCAGCCTGATTTCCTCGGCAAACCACTCTCGGGAGCCCGGCTCCTGGTGCAGCAGCAACAAGTGAGTCCGAGAATACGTTTTTCTCGATGCTCCCGGGCAGGTTACACACTCCCGCGCTCTCGCTCTCCCCCTCCCTCCCTCCCTCTTTTTATTTTAGTGGCTGAGCCTAGATTTTCCTGCATTTTCACATACATACAACTTTCTCAGGATGTGCAGCCCCACAATTAATCCTCAGGGGACAAACTAATCCCCCATCTGGGACCTTAAGAGATCTCCTTTCTCAGAAATCGTTCATTTTCTTCCTGGAAGCTTAAAGAAAAATCCCCACCGCCGTTCCCTGCTCTTTTCTTCAGCCCTGTTCTTCATGCCCCAAGACGCCTCGGGCCTGGGATGGCCTGTAGCTCGGGGGTGCACAGGGAGAGGGGAATGCCTTGGAGCTCGCTCTGCCCCTTGAAGCAGACGCTGAGCTCATTTTCCCTTGTGCCTGTACTTCTAACACCCAGCACAGTCTCCGGCACTTAGCAATGGCTAGAAAATGTTTATTGAATCAACTAACCCACAGTCACGCGTCAGCTGGTCGGCCAAGGCAATGTGGGGCATTCAGTCATTTCTCATTTTCCACACCGACTTCTAGCGTCTCCGTGCCCTTTACCCCTGACTTAAGTGGTGCATGGTGAGGGGTTTAGTTTACTTTCCGGTCCCATAGAGGAGCCAACCAATTAACCATATTAGGAAACAGATGGGAGTTGGGGCTTTATAGGAATCGGGGAGGGTCCCAGGGCTCTCGGGGACCTGTCACTGGAGTGAGGACGGGAAATCTTCGCCTCTTGGCAAGTTTTGTTAGCCTCAGGTGACGGCGTTAACACAGTGCTAGGCTGCCTTTTCAACAAAATACAGACAGAGCCAAACAGAAGAAAAACAACCACCCACCCGCCGCCCATTGGCTGGCGGGGGCAGCAGGATGGTGGCATGGAGCCCGAGCTTGTGGGGGAGAGGGAGCGGGGCGGCACGGCGTTTCTTCAACTGGATTGTTGGAAAGATTTTATTTAGTGTGAAAAAAACCCACCCGCTTCTGGTGCTGAAGATTTATTTGGAAGTTCTGGGCAGATTAACTTTTGGTGAGAGTCGAAACTAAGAACTTTATTGGGAATGCTACGTACACTCCAAAGACCAACAAGAGGGTTTAAGTTAGATGTGATTAGTATGGAGAAAGTTACATTTATCGTCCTCTCATGTATAATTGATCACATGCAAGGCCTTTTGTAACTATAAAAGAGACAGCCCATTAAATTGTTTTACCCCGAGGATTACACAAATTTGCGGGTATCGGATTGAATCACCAGCCTACTGGCTCCACAGCAATGGTAAATCATTAAGGTGCTGATTTCCATTCATGTCTCTTTCTTGCTAGTTATTATTAACCAACTAGCTCCTCCCAGTTTTCGCTTTATTTTCAAACGTCTGAAGGAATCGTTCGGCCTCTTCAGCAACTGAGACCAACTGGGTGCCCGTGGCCCTAAAGGTCACCTTGGAGGGATCTTACGACAAACAAGACGTCGGGCAAGAGCATAACTGGGTGACTTCGTCCTGGACGGAGAGTCTGCAGAGAGACAGTCAGAGGCCATCGTCTCTCCCGATGGGAGTAGAGCAGCCGGAGGGTGCTGGGCATCGCTCTGTGCAAATTGGTTGAGCTCATGCCCATCCCTCCCATCACCCAGAGAGGAATGTGCTCACTGGGTTCAGGGCTAAGTGGTGAGTGTCATTCCCGGGCGCACACGGGACAACCAAATTGGCTCACGCGCATGAGCTGGGAAGGTTGTGGAGGTCGGCTGCCGCTCCTCGTTTATTCCAGGCGGCCCACGGGACAAGCATGAACGCCGTCTCTTCTCTAGAGGCCCCAGGAGGGCACAGCTGAGAGCCACATCGCCTCACGGGAGGAGGCCAGACCCAACCTGCCACTGTCCCTTACTGCTTTAGAGTTCTCACTTAAAGAAACGCACCTGGCAGGCGTCAGGCATTATAAATGGGTGTTCAGGTGGCAGTGCTGCCGTACAGAGCATCTTCAGTTCAGCCTCTCCCAGGCTCACAAGGAATACCAGCCCGGCCTGTGGGCACCCTGGAACCCAGGATGTCCTGCTCCCACGGACAGCCACAGGAGCCGGTGGGCCCTTTGTCCCAAAGCGATCGCGCACGATGCTGGTTTTTGCATTGCACCAGATCAATTTCACTTATAAGTTTAACTGGCGAGGTCAAAAGGTGTGTGCGTATCTATAAATCTAGGGTCTGTCAGCCTCATGCAATTTGGAGAAAGAGAAGGAGGGAGGGGAGAGGCTGTGCTAAATAAATGGAATTCAGTTTTAAATGAAGTCTCTCAATTAGCATTGAGCATTTTTTTAAAACAATCAAGTTATTGAAGCTGGAAAGGAGTTAATGAGCCCACGGAGAAAGCAACTTCTACAGACCATTCTGTGTTGGGGTGGTAATTGCTTGATGACATTTTGGTGTCGTTACAACATGAAACGAAGAGGCAAAATGCTTCCAGTGTTTCTTCAGATGCCCGGTGAGGACGCCCTTAAAAGGCAGGACTGTGCAGGGAACGATCCAGCCTGCGCCTTTGGACACCTGCTTCGCAAACCGTCTTGAGCTGAGGCTCCGATACACAGTGATGCCAGTGTGGCTGCCATGCGTCCACTCCAACGCCGGGAGGTCCCGGGCGCAGCGGGAGGTCACACTGGGAGGCGGGGGTGGAGCTGGGGGTGGGGCTGGGGGGCAGCAGGTGGAGATTAGTCTCAACTGTGATGTCAAAGGACATAAGACAGTAAGTATCAGGCCTGGACGTCAGCCCCCTGAACCAGGCGCCGTTGAGCAACCATGTCCCGGAGACGCCTTCCCCTCCTCATCACAGCAGCAGTGGAGGCCTGCATTGAAGGGCCGAGCAGATTTATGAGAAGAAGTTGCAAAACAATATGGTTTAGCCCTAACTGGTTTGGCTCAGTGGCTAGGGCGTCGGTCTGCGGACTGAAGGGTCCCAGGTTCGATTCCAGCCAAGGGCATGTACCTTGGCTGTGGGCACATCCCCAGTGGGGAGTGTGCAGGAGGCAGCTGATCGATGTTTCTCTCTCATCGATGTTTCTAACTCTCTATCCCTCTCCCTTCCTCTCTGTGAAAAATCAATAAAATATATTTTTAAAAAACCCACAAAAAAACAAAAAATACACTATTGTTCATGCTCAGGAGGAAGGCTGGTTTATACCTGGAACTTGAAAACCGCACGGATGGGAGGAAAAAAAATCTTTTCGTGTTTTTTTTTTTAGAAAATTGAAAATTCCAAAATGCAGACCTCGACGAGAAATGTGGACGTAACCCTCTGCAGTTGAGCCCAGAAAGGAAAGACGGCGTTCTACGTGAGCTGCTTAAAAACCCCAAGGCTCCCTGAGGAGTCACCGCCGGGCACACAGCAATAGTCCACGTCCTCCCCCATCGCCCTTCCTCCCCAGATGTTGCCTCCTGCTGCGCCATCTTCACAGCCCAGAGGCAGCAGGAGGCAACATCTGGGCCCTCCACCGAGGAGTGGGTCTCGGCAGAGAGCGGCTCCCGGCGCCCAGCTCCTGCTGCCATCGATGCGGCTGCGCTTGAGTTCCGGTGTTTGCCAGCGGGCCCGTGTTTAGTAAAATGTCACCTATTGAAAGTCTCTTGGCCCACATCTGCGTGCTCCTCCGTGGGTTGACCTGGAAGCTATGTTCTGTGCTGTGTGTGTTGTTCGTATGCGCAGACACATATGCATGGGCTTTTGTGCAGGTGTGTTCCTACGGCTTCCAAACACGGTGGCTGTAACGAGGGTCGGTCCGGTGAGAGCCTGTGTAACTCGCTCAGCCTGCGGCAGAAATCAGGACAGAAGACACCGGTCGAGATGAATGTCTCCCGTCACAGGCACCGGGGGAGTCGGTCCTCAGAGGCCCTGGCCGCCGAGAGCCAGCGGAGCCGCCAGGCACCGGCCCGCCCTCCCCTGCGCTCAGGGTGCCAGGCCCTCCCCGGACCCTCTCTTTCCGCACAGCCGTGCCAGGAGGCGTGCTGTGGGCCTCCCACCACAGGAGAGGGGACCTGGGACAGGTTTCTGGGACTCGGGCCCGCAGCCTTTCTACGCCCAGCACCAGGGAGGTCCAACACATTGTCTGCCTCATTCCCCAACACCCCTGCTTTTACCCAATTCTGTTTTGTTTTACAACCAAAGAATTGTCCTTTTTGCTGAGCTGAGTGCCGTCGGGATAAGGAGAGGAGGGGCCCTGGCAGTGTCGTTCTGAGTGTGTGATCGGTATGTCGCCGAGTCGGCCTCTGGGAGCTCTTGGAAACCTGCTTCTGTTTGCGGGGAGGGGCCCCTGTCGGGACCTGCTCACGGGGTCGCTGTGGCTGCGACCCGTCGCCCTTGTCGGCGACACCCCGAGCTCTCCGTGAAGGACGAGCCGCAGTTACCTTAGGCGTGGGTTTTAGACGCTCCTCCGGGCAAGTGCTGCTGCGACTGCGCGGTCCTGTACTAAGGTTATTATATGCATATGCGCTGCCACTTAGTTCTGAAGAGTAAATATTTGTGCTCATTATAGCAGTGTCCTCCACTGCGCTAATTATATCAACGCCAACATGTGGATATTAATATAATTAGTGGCAGGAAGACTTGCTCTTCAGAAGCACGTGGTGGTGGCTCGGATGCTACGACACTACCGCCTCTGACGGGCAGTCGCGTTAATCGCGACCCGTTGCCGCAGGTGGCCTGACGCACGGAAAACCATCTTTTTCCAGGGTTTCCTGGGAGTCGGATGCTATGATGAAGGCCCCTGAGCAGTTCCCTTCAACATGCGACCTGGTGGGGAACCAGCTACCCAAGGACAAAGCTGCCGGCTCACCCGCGGCCCCGCGCCGAGGTAGGTGGAGAGAGCTAGAGTGGAAAAGGGGGGAAGGGAGAATTCTCCAGAACTAACTGTCCTTGTTGAACAACATTGGGCTTGTTACATGTCACATGGAAAAGCCCCTCATCCTCCAGGAACCCCGGGGAGGGAGGCCCAGGGCGGTGGAACCGGAGGCGGTCTGCGGGCGGGTGAATGCCCGGTGAGGCCGCGGGCCGTCTTCCAGGAGAGGCGCACCGTCAGGTGACGGCTTCTGCGATCCACGCCACAGTCTTGTTCCTTCTTCATTGAAAAGCCGTGGTCCCCACGTACACCCTTTGGGGGCCCTTCAAAGACGTGCGCTGTTCTGGTGACAAACGCCCGGTTTCATGCCTCCAACTCGGCCGCGTCTTTAGTCGAGTCCCACGGAGGAGCCCCTGGGAGCCTCGCTGGCCGCTCTGCTATGCTCCCTGCGCTATGCTCCCGCGTTGTGCTCCCCGCGTTGCTTTGTGTCATTGAGTTTCTCTGGAGCAACTTCAGCTCTTTCTCCGCCCGTTTCTGTTGAACCCTCACTCCCACTCTGCCTCCTTCTCTTGGTCCCTGTCTCACGCCTTCTCCTCGTTCCTGCAGTCGGCCCTGGCCCTCTGCTCGGGGTCTCCGGTTAGAAAACATGCCCAGAAAGCTGCTGCCACATGCCCCGGCCTCCAGGACGGCACAGTAGCCCCGCACCCTGTCTCCCCGTCTCCCCGTCTCCACGCAGCTCCCAATGCTCCTCCTTGTCTTTCTCCTCCTTTCTTCTCCTCCCTCACATGCCTCCTTCCTCTCTTCCCCAGCCTGCTTTCTCCCTCCCGCCCTCCCTTCCTTCCTTTCTCCCTCCCTCCCTCCCTCCCTCCCTCCCTCCCTCCCTCCCTTCCTTTCTCCCTCCCTCCCTTCCTTCCTTCCTCCCTTCCTTCCTTCCTCCCTCCCTTCCTTTCTCCCTCCCTCCCTCCCTCCCTCCCTCCCTCCCTTCCTTCTCCCTCCCTCCCTTCCTTCCTTCCTTCCTTCCTTCCTTCCTTCCTTCCTTCCTTCCTTCCTTCCTTCCTCTTTTCCTTCTGAAAGTGGGGCTCTCCCGGGTCAGGAACTTCTCTGCAGCCAGGAAGCTGGAGGCCAGGATTTGAGCACCAAGCTGAGGGCCTCAAACTCTTTCTCTCTCCAAGTTTGAAAGACACAGATGTGCTGACTCTGTACAAGGCTTGAATCTTTAATAAGCGATGGAACCGTCCTCTCTTCCCAGAGAGAATCACGCCGCCTCCCCCGGCCCCGTGTCCGCACATGCCCCGCCGAGGGTGGGGGTCTAAGCTCAGAGCACCTCGGTTTAGTCGGAACCTGCAGGCAGAGGGTTAGACTGTGAGCTGGGAACGTGCGTCCTGAACACGGGGGTGAGAATAACAGCCCCCCACGCTCAGGGTGATGGTCAGAGTAGAGGATGTACGCACGGCCCAGCGTGGTTTTCTTAGCTGTCGTGCACTTGCCATGCACAGATGGGGAATCGGCTGAGGCCAGGCCCCGGGCTAAGTGCTCAGGCCCCGTTTTCCAGTGAGACCCGGAGGGAGAGAGGCGAGAGGCGGCCCTCACAGCCTCCTGACGCCCCACCTTCCTGCCAGCCGCCTTCAGCATGAGCGCCTGGAGGCGGGGTACTGGGGCTGGGACCTTCCCAGGCCTCGCCAGCAGGGCTCCTCGGAGCGACCAAAGGGACCCGCTGGTAATATCCGTTCCTGGAAAAGCGTGTGAGTGGGACCATTTCCACAAATAGGACCCGGAACGTTCCCATGTGCCGCAGCGCCGCTCCCGGGGCCAGTGGGTCAGCTGCTGGTCCCTCTCCCAGCGGACCCTGCGAGCTCTCCCACGGGCCACGGGGCCAGCGGAGAGGGAGGGGCTGTGGGAAAGAGCGCAGGATGGGACGGGGACTGTGCTCCCCTCCTGGCTCCACCCGCCCCCCTCTACCCCCCACCCCGCCCCAGGCTGAGGTCCTGGGAACATCATCCCTTCACCTGCCTGCTAGGGACGGGTTCCCAGTCTGGCCCCGAATCCCCTGGATGACTGAACGCGGACACCTCTTCCCGGGTCCCTGCCCAGAGCTTCTAACCCAGTTCCCCGGAGGGGCCGGCATCGGGTGTAGAGAGCTGCCGGGTGATTCTCAGGCCGCCGAGCTCAGTGAGGCGACTGGGGTGAGACCGCAGTCTGCAGCCTCGGGCCATCTAAACCTGCTGCTCAGTAAATATCCAGAGGCTGAAGATGAGACCCGAGCCAGGCTCTCAGGCTGTAATCACTTTATGCATCAGCCCCTTGCTCACTTCCCTTGGTGGGAATTGGTACTGATGTGCGCACCTGACAAGTCATCCTGGTATGCCTACTGTGCGCAAGGGGCCTGGAGATGCTACCACGCAGCCCGAGCCGTGCAGGCTCAGTGGCTTAGAGGAGCAAACGTCCCCCTGATCCGGCTCAGGGCGTCCCCTGGGAGACGGCCCGGAGCACTGAGCACTTTCCCATCTGGACCCGTCGCAGGGGAGCAGCCTTGGCTATGGCAGCAGATGCGGCATTTGGCTGACCTCCCCTCTGCTGATAACTGCCCAGGGCCTGGAGGAGAGCCTCCCCCGCCCCCCGCGGCACCCCCAGCTCCAGCCTCTGTGCCCCGTCCCCCTCACAGGCCCAGAAGGTGAGGGGAGCCCTACTCGAGAGCCGGGGAGTCGAGCAAAGTTAGGCCTTGGCCTCAGCTCTGGTGTGGCCTGGAGAGGGCAAAGGGGCCTGAGACACTCGAAAGATTTGCATCTGAGTAAGAAGTAACCTGCACTTTTCAGAGCTATTTCCCCTAGTTCTTCCTAAAGCCAAATGTTTGCTCACAGCCCACCTCCTTCCAGAAAAGACTGGAGGAGAGGGATCGAAATCTGGTAAGATGCCACTGCAGACCTCCATCCGGAGGCCCTTCCCGCCTCCGCCCTCACTCTCCTAGAAGAGCAGCCCCCCCATCCCCACCCACCTCCACCGTCCCCACTTGCTGAATATCTGTGTCCCTTTCTACACTCGCTGCTTCTGTTGCTAATTTCCCCTCCAGGGGTCCCCTCAAACAGCCACTGGCCACTGTGGGGAGAGAGCTTCTTAGGGCCTTGGGATGAGGGGCAGGAGTGGGGGTGACATCAGAAACAGACGGACAACGCGGGACCCACAAGGAGGGAGGAGGCCACACAAAACCACTGTCTTGAGCCCCAGGGCAGCCCAGCCCTCCTTGGCAAATCGGCGTCTGTGATAAAAATATTCAAACATTATTTCCACCTTAAAACAAACCAGATGCATTGTTAAGCAGCATGCAGAAGCCCCGTGAATTATAAGGCGGACAAACTCCAATACTTCAGTCTGCATTCTCGCTTGCAGGGTGGCTTTCTGACACACCTCCATGCTCCCACTGCGATGATCACCCCCTGTGCTCGCTCTGCTCAGTGGGTAGGGGTACCTGGATGGAGAAGTGGGGGAGCGTGGAGAAGTCTCATCGTCTCCTTTTACAGCTGAGGATCTGAGATCCAGAGAAGTTGTCTGAGTTCCTCAAAATACGCATGGCTACTCGGGCTAAAGCTGAGCCCAGAACGGGTGCCTATCGCACCTTCCAGCTCCTTCCAGAACCTTCCAACACCTTCCAGCAGAGGGAGTAGCACAGGGGAAGCTGTGGGTGAAGAATAGCTTTCATTATTGACCTGGACAGGAGCTCTGGGATTGGAACCAGGACATGTGTGTCTGAGCTCCGTCGCTGCCTAGAAGCTGTGTGGCTCTGAGCGTGTCAGCTGCGCCCACAGCCTCAGCTCCCTCTGGGACCAGCACATAAGGTGGGGGCACACAGGAGCCCTCGGGCCCCGTCCTGGCGGGTCATTCTGGTGCCTGGCACTCTCCGAGTTTGATTGCCCTCGGTGGCATCCGCCTGCTAAAGTGATCAGTTTGGTGCTGATTAGGATAATGAAATCAATACCGACCTGACTCGCCTGTGAGGGGCAATGTGTAGGGAAGTCCAGTATCATCGACCTTTTTGTGTCTGTGTCTTGGTCTCAGTTCACTAAGGGAAGCTCCTCCTGGGAGCAAGGCCGTGGCTTTTCCTCTCATGTCCTGATCGGAGTCACGTGTGTTGAGCTCAGGGGTTGCTTCTTGGCCTGCTGACGCTCTGGGGGAGACCGAGGGGGACCCAGGAGAAGCACCTCCTTGTTGAGCCAACCAGCCGCCGGCTGCAGATGACGCTGACGCGGTCTGGAGGCCGTGAGGGGTAATGGATGCGGCAACGCCAGCCCTGAGGCGTCGTAGGGAGAGAGCTTTCTGGAAGACTCGGCGAAGCTTTGGAACCACCCTCACATCGTTTCCATGTGAAGTAATGTCAACTGTTAGGATGCTCTTTGTTAACTTAAAAAGAGAACCTGCCATCAACCCTCCTATGTGACTGTCTTTCCATTGAGTGTCTGGTCTCCCAGGAAAATTCTTCTGCAAAAGACTCAACATAACCAACAGAGAAGAGGCTCGGCTGTGCGGACAACCTGGTCCCGATCCAGCTACCAAGTCTCCATCGACTGTTCACCCGCGAAGTCCTTCCCGCACCCAGGTGCCTATCCTGCCCTCTCCTCGGGTCAGGGAGGACATGTGCACGTGGCGGGCCCTTTCCCGCCCTCTCCGCGGGTCAGGGAGGACATGTGCACGTGGCAGGCCCTTTCCCGCCCTCTCCGCGGGTCAGGGAGGACATGTGCACGTGGCAGGCCCTTTCCTGCCCTCCCCGCGGGTCAGGGATGATGTGCACGTGGCAGGCCCTTTCCCGCCCTCTCCGCGGGTCAGAGATGATATGTGCACATGGCCTTTCCTGCCCTCTCCACGGGTCAGGGAGGACACGTGCACATGGCGTGTAGCACATTCTTCTGACAAGAGACTGGAGGAGGCGGGGCTTGCTGGATGCACTCCCTCAAGCACAGAAATGCTTCGTTTTACATGTCTGCTCTACTCCCTTGAGGTTACACAGGAGGACTTGATTGGAAACTAACGTTTAAGGGAAGGGGGTGCCGCTCAGCTACCCTAGGCACCGCCTCTCAGCCCTGGACTGAGAGCCTGTTGCATCCGTGATGTGATGGCTAGGCCTGCCCTGATCCCATGTCTTCCCAGGTGAGAAGGAGAGGCTGCCTGGCTCCCAACACTCTGCCCTCTGTGGCTCCCACGTGCCCTGAGCCCCAGCAGAAGGAGCAGAAGGTTCCACACCGCCCTTCCATCCCTCTGTGCAAAGACACGCCCCCCCCCCCCCCCCCCCCAGTTCCTTGTGTCCTGGGAGCAGGCATGGCAGTGAGAAGAGTGAGCCCCTCCTACTGGAGAAGCTACTGTCCCCGAGGGTCAGAGACCTGAGGAACCCAGGGAGCCCCAGGGCAGAGCAGGACGTGACCCGCCTCGGTGCCTTCTGACCCTCGGAGCTTAGTCAGCGGGCGGAGCTCGGACTGAGGCCGGGTGGAAGGAGCATTAGGGCAGGGCCTCCTGGCAGCCAGAATACAGCCTGCGTGTCTACGTGTCTGATTGGATCTCAGACGCTAACTCCAGGCAGCAGAACCCACGCTGGGTCTCCACGCGCGCACATGACTGGCAGGAAGGAGGCCTCGGAGCAGCGCTGGCCACTGGGCGTGCATGGCCTCAGGGCTTCCCCCTGGCATCACTGTGTCCTCGACAACTGTCGTGGAATGCATCCTGATTCCTGAAATTCCACCTCAGCAGCGGGCTCATTAGATGCGGCCCCTTTGATGTGGTTAGAAGGTGTGAAGTCAACCGTTTGCCCAGTAGCTCTTCCCACCACACCGCGACCTGAGCCTACATCTGGTGATGAAGTGGACTCTCCTCTCAGGGGCGGAGGCAGGTCCTCAATGAGACTCCGGCAGTGACCCTGCAGGAGGACCCTCGAGGGGTTTGGGCCGAGTGCCTGCTCGTGGCTGGGCCTACAGCTCCCTCATTGCTCAGCAAGAGGCTTCCCTACCCATCCTGCCCCAGCTTCATGGGCCACGCCGAAGCCCACATTTAAGTGGAAGGCATTGGAAGTGAACATCTGATAAGTAAGCTATGCCCACCAGCTGTGATAGCCCATTCCTTCAGCACACCAACCCAGCAGCTCACACCAACCCAGCAGCTCACACCAACCCAGCAGCTCACACCAAGCCAGCAGGTCACAGTTAGCGTGGTTGTGGAGGAAGGCCTGACCTTGTGGCCTCTCAGTAACCCTGAGACCCAGGGAAGCAGGCGTATGCTGGGACCATGTTTTCCTAGCCCCTCAGTTACACTCCTGTCCTGGCGAGACTGGGTCTAATAAAACATGCAGAATTCAGGGGTGGGCTTCTTTCTTTCTCTTCCTTCCTCCCTTCCTTCCTTCCTCCCTTCCTCCCTTCTTCCTTTCTCCTTCCTTCCTTCCCTTCTTTCTTCCTTCCTTCCTTCCTTCCTCCCTTCCTCCCTCCTCCCTTCCTCCTCCTTCCTCCTTCCTTCCTTCATTATTTCCCTCCTCCCTCCTTCCTCCTTCCTCCCTCCTTTCTCCTCCCTTCCTCTTCATTCCTCCTCCCTCCTTCCTTCCCCTCCCTTCCTTCCTTCCTTCCTTCCTTCCTTCCTTCCTTCCTTCTTCTTTCTTTCTTTCTTTCTTTCTTTCTTTTCTCTCTCTCTCTCTCTCTCTCTCTCTCTCTCTCTCTCTCTCTCTCTTTCTTTCTTTCTTTCTCTCCTGCTTTCTTTCTTTCCCTGGAAGAAGTGAACAAGATGAGAAAAATGAATTTGGCTTTCACGGGTTTTTTGGAGAGGGGGGCAAAGCAGGTCTGAGGTGTTCCATACATTTTTGCGAGAAGCTGTACTTACGCTGCTTGGAGAAGTAATTGGTGGACAGACACGGAGCCCCCCAAAAGGGCTGCTCTTTCCAAGAGGATGGAAAATGCGAGTCTTAGGAGCCACTCCCCAAACTCCTTTCTGCCCATTTGTCTCTTGCATCTGTTCTTTCAGACCCTGAGCGCTTTGCAGTCCACAGGCGGTTGGGGGGGGTGCGGAGGCGGGGGGGGGGGTGCTTGGTGAAATTCCCATATTCACATCTCAGACCCGCAGGCCCCCGGGGTGGGAGAGGGCCTCAAGCCCAGCACAAGAACAGCGCCGCTGGGTCTCCAGGCCCCTCAAGTCTATGTTTGGAGCCACGTAGTGAGTGACGTGCACGTAGAGCTCGTCTGACTGCGCGCACAAAACAGGATCGCCCGGGCGTGGGTGTCGCTTAGTTCTTCCCTCATCGCCGTCGGCCTCGCTGGGACCTGGCCCGAGGTGCGGCCCCTCCTGGGCAGCCACGGACACTGGACGGCCCATGCATGGCTTGTGTTGTGTTTTGCTTTTGCAGAGCCGGGGCGTGGACAGGGGCTCCCGGAGCCACCACGTGAGCTGAACGGATGCCTCGTCTGCATTAAGAAGCTGTGGGCCCGTGAGCGCCACCACTGTCAGCCCGTCCCCCGACCCCTGTCCTCATGAAGCCACGGGTCTGACTTCTCCACGCCCAGACTGAGGTGAGGACGTGGGGGCAGTTTGAAATGGAGTTTCCCAGCCTCACCCCGAATCTGTAGCAAAGCAAATAAACCACCACCAACAACACAGAGCGTGCCCAATGCCTGGCCCCCCAAGCTCCCCACAGGGAGAAAGTGGACGCTGCCCCCACACTGGGTTAGCGCATCTCCTGAAGGTCAGGCAGTGTGCCCTGTGGTACCCCTTTTTGATCAGGGCCACCCCCTATCCGAGCTCCGGTTATCGGGGGGCAGCCACACTGGACAGGTCCAGAGGTCCACTCACCCCTCCTCCGTGGCCCACCCACACGGCACCCACATCCGCTGCACCCACCCAGCGGGGGACCAGAAATGGGGGAGAAATGTGAGATGTCTTCATGTCGGACATTACAGGGAGAGAAGGGGAGCCCGGGAAACACTGAGGACGAGCTGGTGAGCTGGGGAGGAGTCTTGCAAACCCTTCAAACGCGCTGCAGGGCCAGGAGGGGAGCTGCCCGGCTGAGGATCAGGCTCTGGCACGGGTTGGAGAGGCAGGACCCCGGGGGCATGGGCTCCTGGCGGAGCAGCCTAACCGCACAGGCAGTGCCCAGCCAGTCAGAAGGCCGGGTGAGCAGGCGGTGCCCAGCCGGTCAGAAGGCCGGGTGAGCAGGCGGTGCCCAGCCGGTCAGAAGGCCGGGTGAGCAGGCAGTGCCCAGCCGGTCAGAAGGCCGGGTGAGCAGGCGGTACCCAGCCGGTCAGAAGGCCGGGTGAGCAGGCGGTGCCCAGCCGGTCAGAAGGCCGGGTGAGCAGGCGGTGCCCAGCCGGTCAGAAGGCCGGGTGAGCAGGCGGTGCCCAGCCGGTCAGAAGGCCGGGTGAGCAGGCGGTGCCCAGCCGGTCAGAAGGCCGGGTGAGCAGGCGGTGCCCAGCCGGTCAGAAGGCCGGGTGAGCAGGCGGTGCCCAGCCGGTCAGAAGGCCGGGTGAGCAGGCGGTACCCAGCCGGTCAGAAGGCCGGGTGAGCAGGCGGTGCCCAGCCGGTCAGAAGGCCGGGCGAGCAGGCGGTGCCCAGCCAGTCAGAAAGCCGGGTGAGCAGGCAGTGCCCAGCCGGTCAGAAGGCCGGGTGAGCAGGCGGTGCCCAGCCAGTCAGAAGGCCGGGTGAGCAGGCAGTGCCCAGCCGGTCAGAAGGCCGGGTGAGCAGGCGGTGCCCAGCCGGTCAGAAGGCCGGGTGAGCAGGCAGTGCCCAGCTGGTCAGAAGGCCGGGCGAGCAGGCAGTGGCCCCAGCTCCGCAGGCAGGTAAGAGTGGGCTGGATGCTCCACCTTCTCTTTTCTCTCTTCTGCTCTGAGTGGTTACCATGGAGACCACCTGGTGAAGATGTGATTGACGACAGAAGATGGGAGGAGCCTGGATCCCCAGGTGACTTCATGGTGCAGAGCCTCATGCTACCGCCCAAATCATATGAGACAGATGGAGGAACAAGATACTTTTAGGACGCTAAGGTGCTGGAATTGTAGCGTTCATTCTAACAGTCACTTAATCATCTCATGATGCACCCTCCTCCCGCATCATGAGATGATTAACTCAAGTAACTTCCGCCTAGAACTGTGGACACAGAGCCCGTCACGGCGTATTTATCAAGCGCAGCCCAATGCACAGCCCGGCTGACGGGTCATCCCTCAGGTGTCAGACGATCTGCTTCGGTGTTGTTCACGGAGAACCTGGGCAAACAACCCAGGTTCCTATGTCAAGATAAATCTCTGATTTGTTTTCAGGTAACCTGGTGTGTGTGTGTGTGTGTGTGTGTGTGTGTGTGTGTGTGTGTGTGCACGCACATGCCTGGGCACATGTGTATATGAAAAAATACACAGTTTGAATTGCGATGCAAAGAGTCTTTGCTTTGGGGCAAAGTTCACACATTTGTTTTCGGCAGGACTCGCCAGAAGGGCCGGTTGGAAGGTTCTAGGGGACTCTGAGAAATCTCTCCCTGGATTGAAGTTAGGACTGTATGAAAGCAGTGGGCCGCACGACCCCAGAGGGCACAGCGTGTGAGTCCTCCTTTGGGGAGGGAGTCCTATGAAGGTGGCTCTCCAGGACCAGCAGGCTCAGAGGTGGACAGTAGCCCCGAGAGGAGCCTCGTCCACAGCGACAGCAGGCCCCTGGCCCCGGCAGTGAGAGCAGCACCGAGCCGCTCCTGCCACCCGCCCTCCCCCGGGCCTGGCCAGGAGCCACTGGGACAGTGGGCGCGGTGTTGGGAAGCCAGTGCTGGTTCAAGACCAGCTTCCACGGCTCTGGACCACACTGAGCAGAAGGACTTCACGCCCCGCGGCTCCATCATGGAGCTCCCCTGCTCGATCTGCAGCATCGGAGACATGGACAAACGCCCTGCAGGTCGCGCTGTCCCTCAGATGCTGCCCATGGAGACGGGGCTCTAAGGCCACTGTCCGCCTGGGAGACCCTGGTTCCAGGGAGAGCTGTGTGTGAGCTGCCACGTGACTCTAGGAAGTCTTAATGCGCCAAGATGACTCGGAACTGCCTGCGTTTCAGGATGTGGGGAGCATGGGAGGAATCGGGAACATTTCCAGGAGATCCCAGATTCAGGGAGCGGCTGTGAGCTAACCGTGCACGCAGACTTCAGACACCTGCAAACGGAATCGCTGCAGGAGGGGAGGGAGGAGACGAAGGAGAGCCGGGCTCTCTCCGCTCTGAATGCATGGCCGCCCTCCCACGCCTCTGTCCACGTCGCAGGCTCTCCCTGACTGGGCCTCTCGGCTCATCTCTTTCAGGACGGATTCCCGGATCTGCGGAATGACCGAGGCAGGAGCCTGGGTTCTGTGCGGAGGGAAGAGCGGGCTGCAAGGCAAAGGGCAAGGAGGGGACCAGCTCTGCGTGGGCTCCGGAAGCCAGCCCCTCCCTTCACCGCGATGAACCCTGACCTTCACTCCTCCCCTGACGACCGGCCACCCACCCCTTGGCACCGGCGATGACTGCACCGCCCACCGTTCCGCTGATGGGGGGAGGAAGGCATTGAGCGGAGGAAGGGGAGCCTCTCGGCCTGCGTGGCGGTCGCCACCTCAGCTTGCTCTCCGCTCCGCTCGAGGACAGTGGCCTCCGGGAGGCTGGGCAGAGGGGCCGGCGCCAAGCACCAGGCCGTGACAGCGAGACGCGAACGTGTGTCACCGCGGGGTCCACCGGGGGAGAAAGTTTGAAACATTTTAAAAATGCAGGTGCACACGTTCCCCCTGCCAGGAGCGGCGGTGGCACTTTGTAATAAAATCGTATGTTTATTCTCCACCGTTGAATACACATGCCTTAGTGTTCCCAGGGAGAGCCGCCGCGGTGCGAGCCAGTGAACAGTTTGCCGACGGATTAAGCACATGTACCAGGAAATAAAACGTGCCGACTCAGGGCGTCTGGCCTCCCGCCTTCGCGCTGGCCCAGAGCTCCCCAGCGAGGCCCTGGGAGCTTTGTGCAAAGATCTGAATCAGGAAGGATCGCGTTGAAGAGTCACGTGGAAACTGCTCCTGCAGGAGCCCCCAAATCAAAATGTCGAAGGAGCGGTTCCAGCTTCGGAGTCTGTGACAAATGATGGCAAATGAACGGCATATCCGATGGCCAGCGGGGCCCTGTGGGATTTATCCATCAACAGGACTTCCTGGTTACTGCGGAAGGTTTGGGGGGAGGGAGGTGCATCTATGTGAGGGTCTTTGTTGCTAATATTTTCCCTGAGGCATAGGGCTTGCAGGGGCAAATCTTCAAGTTACTGCATCCTGGGAAGTTATTTATTTTAGCCAACATTCATTTCCAGCGTAGAGAAGAATAGCACTCTTATGGGCACTGTGTGGGGAGGCCAGGATGTGCGAGACGGGGTGCCAGCACCCACTGCACTGGGGACCCACAGGCGTTAACAACCAGAATGACAGGGACATGCGGACAATGAGCTCCATCGGGGAAGGGACAGGCCCTGGGCTCAGGGGATCACAGGCGATGGGGGAGGAAGGAAGGCCAGACAGAGGCAGGAAGCCATCCTTTGAGAGGGGACAGGGGGTGTCAGAAAGGCACAGAGCTTGCACATCCTGAGCAGGATTTGGTCAGGAGGGCGATGGGAGTCCTGGATACGCGCACGGTGTCTGTCGCCCATGGGCCTGGAGCCTCGCTGTGACACCTGGGCCTCTTCACTCCACAGACTGCCACTGGGACCCTGGAGTTTTTTTCTCTCTCTCTTTCTCTCCTCTCTCTCTCTCTCTTTTTTTGCTTGGTCCAGCCAGTATTGCCAGAAAAACCCTCCGGTGGAAAATCAAACTGCGAATGAAAAATGAAGAAGGCATGTGAACAAAGCAGAACTTGTGAAACACACACACACACACACCTCTCAGTGCAAGACATTCCCCAAAACCTCACACAAACCCTAACCCTAAACCTAACCTACCTCACCTGAAACCTAACCCTGACCCTAAATCCTAACGCTAAATCATAACACTAACCCTAACCCTAAATCAAAATCCTAAACCTAACCCCAAATCAAATCATAACCCTAATGCCAACCCTAAAAATAGCCTTAAATCATAACACTAACCTTAACCTAAATCATAACCCTGCCATTAACCCTGACCCTAAATCATAACCCTAACCCTAACGCAAAATCATAACCCCCAACCATAAATCTTAACCCAAACACTAACCCCAAATCATAACCCTAACCCTAAATCATAATCCTAACTCTAACCTTAAATCAAAACCCTAACCCTAACACTAAATCATAACCCTAACAGTAACCCTAACCATAAATATTACCCTAACCCTAAACTTAAATCATAACCATAACCCTAAATTGTAACCCTAACCCTAATTAATAACCCAAACCCTAAATCAAAACCTTAATCATAACACTAAACCAAAATCATAACACTAACCATAACCCTAAACTTATATCATAACCCTAACCCTAACCTTATATCATAACCCTAACCCTAACCTTCAATCATAACCCTAACCTTAACCCTAAATTATAATCCTAACCCTAAATAATAACTCTAATGCTAAATAATAAACCCTAAATCATAACCCTAACCCTAAATCATAACCCTAACCATAACCCTAAATCATAACCCTAACCCTAACCTTAAATCATAACCCTAACCCTAACCCTAAATCATAACCCTAAACCCAAATCAAAACCCTAAATCTATTTTTAAAAAATTTTTTTAAAATATATTTTATTGATTTTTTACAGAGAGGAAGGGAGAGAGATAGTTAGAAACATCAATGAGAGAGAAACATCGATCAGCTGCCTCCTGCACATCTCCCACTGGGGATGTGCCCGCAACCCAGGTACAGGCCCTTGACATGAATCGAACCTGGGACCTTTCAGTCCGCAGGCTGATGCTCTATCCACTGAGACAAACCGGTTTCGGACCTAAATCTTAACCATGACTCAAAATCATAACCCTAACCATAAACATAACCTAAAATAATAACCCTAAACCTAAATGATAACCCTAACGCTAAATTATAACACTAAAAATAACCTATAATCATAACCCTAACCATAAATCATAACCCTAACCTTAAATCATAACTCTAATCCTAAAACGTAACCCTAACCCTAAACTTAAATCATAACCCTAAACCAAACCCTAACCTTAAATCATAACCCTAACCCTAACTTTAAATCATAACCCTAACCCTAAATCATAACCCTAACCCTAACCCTAACCCTAAATCATAACCCTAACCTTAAATCATAACCCTAACCCTAACCCTAAATCATAACCCTAACCCTAACCTTAATCATAACCCTAACCCTAACCCTAACCCTAACCTAACCCTAAACCTAATCCTAACCCTGACCCTAAATCATAACCCTAACCCTAACCCTAACCCTAAATCATAACCCTAACCCTAACACTAACCCTAAATCATAACCCAAACCCTAACCCTAAATCATAACCCTAACCCTAACCCTAACCCTAAATCATAACCCTAACCCTAACCCTAATCATAACCCTAACCCTAACCCTAACCCTAAATCATAACCCTAACCCAAACACTAACCCTAAATCATAACCCAAACCCTAACCCTAGTTCATAACCCTAACCCTAAATCATAACCCTAACCCTAACCCTAAATCATAACCGTAAAATCATAACCCTAACCCTAACCCTAAATCATAACCCTAAGCCTAAATCATAACCCTAACCCTAACCCTAACCCTAACCCTAAATCATAACCCTAACCCTAAATCATAACCCTAACCCTAACCCTAACCTTAAATCATAACCCTAACCCTAACCCTAACCCTAAATCATAACCCTAATCCTACCCCTAAATCAAAACTTTAACCCTAACCTTAAATCATAACCCTAACCTTAACCTTATAATATAACCCTAACCCTAACCCTAAATCATAACCCTAACCCTAACCCTAACCCTAACCCTAAATCATAACCCTAACCCTAACCCTAAACCCTAAATCATAACCCAAACCCTAACCCTAAATCATAACCCTAACCCTAAATCATAACCCTAACCCTAAATCATAACCCTAACCCTAACCCTAACCTTAAATCATAACCCTAACCCTACCCCTAAATCAAAACTTTAACCCTAACCTTAAATCATAACCCTAACCCTAACCTTATAATATAACCCTAACCTTAACCTTAAATCATACCCCTAACCCTAACCTTAAATCACAATCCTAAACCTAACTTTAAATCATAACCCTAACCCTAACCCTAAATTATAACCCAAAACCCAAATCAAAACCCTAAATCTTAACGATGACCCAAAATCATAATGCTAACCCTAAACATAACCTAAAATAATAACCCTAAAACTAATTGATAACCCTAACCCTAAATTATAACCCTATAAATAACCTTAAATCATAACCCTAACCAAAAATCATAACCCTAACCATAAATCATAACTCTAACCCTAAAACCTAACCCTAACCCTAACCTTAAATCATAACCCTAACCCTAACCCTAACCCTAACCCTAACCCTAACCCTAACCCTAACCTTAAATCATAACCTAACACTAACCCTAATCCTAAATCATAACACTAACCCTAACTTTAAATCATGACCCTAACCCTAACCCTAACCCTAACCCTAAAATATAACCCTAACCTTAAATCGTAACTCTAACCCTAAAACATAAACCTAACCCTAACCATAAATCATAACCCTAACCCTAACCCTAATCCTAACCCTAACACTAAATCAGAACCCAAACCCTAACCTTAAGTCATAACCCTAACCCTAACCGTAAATCATAACCCTAACCCTAACCCTAAGCCTAACCATAACCCTAACCCTAACCCTAACCCTAAATCATAACCTAACCCAAACCCTAACCCTAAATCATAAC